TAATATCTTTTCTCTGCTCACAATGCTCCGGGCTTCAGTCAAGTACGTCCTTTGCCAGAACATCTCTTTGCAAAGCAGTCTGCAATGTAGTTTGCTTGTGTGACCTTTCTCCCCGATACAGAAGCCACACAAACTCCATTCCCAGTTTGTCAGGTGGACTCAGGTCTTGTATCCTTCATATCCTTCAGTTTTTTTTTCAAGCAAACAACAGTTTTACGGACCATCTTCTCATTGCTTTATCACGTTGAGATCCTATAAGCCTCCTCTAGTTTGTGTATTGTAGAGTACCATTCCTCACAAGCGCAGTCCAAGTCTCTGAGTCCTGTTTCTCCGTTCGACATTTACTGAAAGGCATGAATTCAGGGGTCAGTCAAGTCAGAATCTTCCAGTCCTGCCCTAGCTTGCTTGACTAGCTGCCCACCACTGCTTGCAGAATCCTGGTCACAGTCAGCTTCTGAGACAGTCCAGATTCAACCCAGCAATACCTGGACTGTAAGTCCCAACCTGCACACCAAAAGACACCTCTACTGGCCAGGAAAGGTGTCCTATACTCTGATGCTTCTAAAATTTTTCAGACTCTAATGCCTTACTTTTCACCATAATGGGCTGGCTGGCTGTGTAAAGGATTGTTATCGCTACATAAACAATAAAGCTGTTGAAGCAATCACATATTGCATGGCTGGATTGCTCTGGGTTATTAACACTGCCAAGACCATAAAGATAAAAACAAAATCCAACCACAGAGAAAGAAAATGTTGCACAGGCTGCGCAGCACTGTTCCATCTCTTATATAGACAGATAGAGGATTCCAAGTTTTCTTTTGGGCAATTTGTGTGCTAGTATGATGGTTCATGTGGTTTCTGTTTACTGCAACATGCTTGCCACAACCTCCTGTTGGCATAGTGCTCTGTCTGTCCATTGGTCCATCTGTCTACGATCTGCCCTTCTGTGTCTTTACCTACCATCATAGCCAATCCTGTTATTGATTGTTCTTTATAAGAGAATTCACACCCGTGGTTGTTATTTTTAATTTGAGCTGTATTGTAAAGATTTCAATGTGTAATCGTCGTCCGTTATTGGAAAAACACTTATCCTTGGTATGGGTTGTGCAGATTAAGAACCCTTCCCAGAAGCATAGGGTCTAAATCAGCCCATCACGCAAAAGAACAATTGAGAAACATCATGTAACCCAGGTAGCATGTTTCGGAAGGTGGGAGGAGACTGAGAAACCAGAGAAAAATGAGGGGAACATGCAAACTCCACACGTAAGGTGCCACAGCCCGACATAGAACCCAGGACTCAAGAGCTGACAACAACTCCTACCACATCTAGATATACATATAAATCTGTGGTTATGCATATGGTGTGACTGAAAGACTATTCAAGCTGTCTAACTGAGTCTCAGTGTTCTGGATCAGCATGTCTGGGGTGGTCCTGAGCCTCACTGACTGTGCAATGAGTCACAGAACACGGCTCTTTTAGTCTGCCCTTAAGAAAAATTCACCCTCACTTGAGAGCCGGCCCCGGAGGTGGAAGTCAGGCTTAAAAATAAATATATCGCTGTAATTAAAACAACATCGCTTCTGTGCCATGTTTGGTCGGTAAATGCCAGCCGATTTTAAAACACAAGGCCATTGTGTAGAGTTATGTTCTTAACAGCTTGGCCTCGCTGTCTTCATTTCCTTTCGTCTGTTTGTGTTTTGTTTCTCTTAATCCTGGCGTCAATGGGTTTCACTCACCCACTCGGTATTTAGCTTGGCTATCTTTTAGATACGCTGGATAGGAGTCCTGCATTGTTTCCTTTGACTTCCAACCACAGGAACAACGGTTCTTTAAAAATCGTCATAGGCCCTGCCTGAAGGGGTCTGGTGCTTCAGTTCCACGAGAGCGGCGATTGTGGAATTTTAAGGGCTGCTACAGCACAGTACAAAATGGGAGCACGGGGGAAATGTCTGCCCTGTTCTGTCTTCTAGGCCTTCACGTTTCTTTATATCCCCTGTCACTGTGTGAACCCATCTCTGGGAAAGCATGCTGGTTAGCATTATTGCTTTGCTCTTTTAGTTCAATTCCACACTAGAGCATCTGTCCACCCGTGAAGTTGGCATATTCTTCCTGTGTTTTCCATAGGATTTCCATCTTTCCACTTCCAAAAGACATGCCGATCAGGTTTAACTGGCTGCTCTGCATGCTGTGGAACGTTTCATACTGGGGGTGGGGAGGCACTCCCAATACTGGCTGTGGGGCTATAAAGAAATTGAACCAGATGAGCCTGAGGCTTTCCTGATGTTCTGTTCACCCTGGGATGCCTCCTGTGGATTCCATCTTCAGATTGCTCTGACATGACTGTGAATTCGGCACTTTGTGTTGTATTGCTTTTGCTTAATCTAGCTTAGACCGTGATATTATTTCAATCATTTGTGTCCCCTATTGGCATCAGAGTATTATATAATTATATGCCATTTATCTATTTCTTTTGTTTATGTCACGCCCCATACTCTCCCTTGCAAACGCTGTTACATTCCCAAACTCACTGTTTCACAATCTCATTCCTAACTGAACCCATCACATTCCCACATGCACCAGATTCCACAGATCCTCACTCCCGAACCACTTATCCAACCACGTCCCTGTCCCTTCAGTATTTAAACTTCCCTCACACCCCAAACCAGGCTCACTATTGAGAAGCCTCCCATAGTATTCTCTTGTGTGTGTTTCAATCTTTTTGACTGATCTCCTGGTTCCTAATCTTTGCTCCTGCCTTTTTTGACCATTTAGGACCCATTGTTTCTCCAAGCCCCTGGATTCCGTGTTTTGGATATTGTCCCTGTGCTACTCCACCTTCTGCAGGATTCACAGTTATGCATAAGGATCCTCCTTTTCAACCTATAGGTTCCCTGACAGTTTATGCCTGTCTGCATGATGTTTTGCAGTGTTGGTGCTTTACAGTTTATTAATTGTTAGACACCTTGTATAGAGGTGAGCTAAGTAGTATTAATGAGAGTCACAGAGGACCTGGAATGCTCTGCAAGTGACTACACACAGTTCTGTATTCTCATATTAATACACATTGAAATCGTAGCCACAGGGCTGAGACATGTCGGGGTTTCGTGAAACACACGCCCATAAGATCTCGTGATAGATGTCCTGTAACTTGATCAGGCTCTAACCTGGCAGTTCTCTCATATTTGTGCAGGACTCTTCCAGGCTACACAGGGCTCAGTGTGGTTGAACAATGCAGGTGAAAGTGTAGGGGCAATGTCGAAACACCTTCACACCAAGATAACCTGACAAGAAAAAAAAAGCATTGCCTAACTTGTTCAGAACTAGAGTGCTAATAATTCTGGAATTTTATCTCATATTTCCATAGAAGTCTGCTGAATGGGGAGTTTGTAGGTTTTATAGTCCTTTCAAAGAGTCCATTTTAATAATGATCCACAATTGAATCATAAAATTGTTTTTCACTCACTGTCTGGTGTGATTTATTGGACTGGGCCATGTTACAAAGAAGTGGAGGTCTGAGAACACTTCAGAGGTCCTAGTTAGCAAAAGGAATATCTAGAAATGAGCATTTTTTATTTCACTTTGGGTTTTCTTTTAGTGACACAGGTGACATTTATCATCTACAAAGAGGTTGCCGGCGCAACACAGTGGCCATGTCCGTTTCCGAAACAAGGTTAGTTTTTCATCCGAACAAACTGTAAATGAGTTTTAAAATACTTTCGGAATCACACCTGCGTGAATGAATGACAGGGTAATATGGATCAGAGTTTTCATCTTTGTTATTGTGGTTGAAAATGTATTTTCTTAATGGGTAATGAAAAAGTGGCACAGATACATAGTAGTTAGTAATGGCACACAGCTCTTGGGTTCTGCGTTTGATTCTGCACTGTGGTACAGTGCCTTCTGTGTGGTGTTTGCACATTTCTCCTTACCCCTCACTCTTTGTTTGCATGGGATTTCAGATAACCGATGCATAAATAATGGGGAAAAAAAACTTTATATGCTTGAACGCAGTGTTTGACAGCACCAGATACTTCAGCTTCTAAAACCCATTATCTGTCAGTTCTGTAATACCAGCAGAGGACCTGAGGCTCAGATTGAAACATTTCGGACACTTTTTCGAGTTTAACCTGCAGGTCTTTAAACCCTGGAGTCCATGCAGTCAAACCCTGCAGAGATCAAGGCCACTCAGAAACCTCAGGACTTTGATCTACGGCTGCAGGCTGGCCAGTGAAATGTCACCACAGCTGGAACAATTCAAGCACTTACTGAGTCTAGGCACAGACCAGCAGGCTGAGAGTGAGACACTTCTACATAGGTTAATGTAGCTATTGACAAATGAAAATCTACCCTTAGGACAATGGACAGAAGAAGAAGAGCAAATATAAAGCAAGGAAAAAGTGAAAAAAAAAATTTAAAGAGTTAATACAGATGTAAAAATCACTATTTAGTATACACAAATTAGAAAATGCATCTGCAGACCCAGAAAACAGGATTTCTGCCTACTGTACTGTATATATGTTTGAAATGATCTACTGGCAAAAACTGTAAATGCCCAAAAGCTATATTAAAAAGAATCTATGTGCTGTTGTGAATGTGCTGTTCACTGGTTCTCATAGTAAGGAACTCCTTGAAGTGGAGTATAAATGTGTGTCACTACAGTGGCAGAACGAACCCTTACGGTGTCAGATTCCTAAAAGTAAAATAGAAATATAATACAGAATCATATAATACAGAAGTGCAGCTGTAATATCAGGTGTGTCACATTGATTAAGCTTGTGAATTGTGTCTTGTTTTTACAAAGTGAGTGGAAAATGTAGAATTGGGTGGGGATTCTGCTCTTTCTTAACTGTTTTTGTTCTATCCCTTGTGAAACCCCTTTGCTGTCTGTGGGCCACCAGCTTGCAATGCTTCATCGTTCTTCTCTTCCCCCCACCCTGGAGCCCCTGAAGAGCGTCCAGACACACCTGTGAGGGAGGAGGGAGTCACTTTTTTTTTTCAGGACCTTATCATCCACTCTGTGTGTGTGTGTGTTTCAACAGGGCACTCAGACATGCGTTTCTCTCCAAACACTCCCGACAGACAAAATGTCCAGAGTGGAGTCTAAGTCAGAACTGTTCAACATGTCCGCTGTGTCCATCACGGAGCCAGAGAAGGAGGGGGAACGTTTCTGCCAAAAGCCCAACAGGTTTGAACGCTACGTCCAGCCCTGCCTGGCCGAGCTCCTGGGCTCGGCTCTCTTCATCTTCGTGGGCTGCTCCTCGGTCATCGAGAACGTGGAGGGCACCGGCAGGCTCCAGCCTGCGCTGGCCCATGGCCTGGCCCTGGGGATCGTCATTGCAGTCCTGGGGGAGATCAGGTATGGAGGTCAGGGACCTGGAAGAAGCGTTACAGAGAACTGATTAAGGTCCAAAGCTAAAGGGCATTCAATTTGGTTAGAAGCGAAAATGTATCATGCTTTTGGACATTAAAGGAAAACACCAGGGCTGGTAAGAAATATTTTGGTTCTGTGCCTTAAATAAGTCTTAAATTTCAGCATCTAACTGTATTAGAAATCCTTTAGAGCAGCTCAGCTGTCAGTGAAGCCCTCCGACAGGTTGATTTATGAATTCAGGGGGAAAGATTTCCTTGCAAGTGAATTACATCTGGAACACTTACACCATTCTTCTTGTTTAGTCCTTTATGGCACACAGAGAAAAAAAGCGTGCATAATGTTCATGACGGATTCTGCTTCTTGTTGCTGTCGGTTTTTTTTTGGTCGTAGCATTGCGATGGGAGAAGAGAGGTTGATCCACAGATAAGACAGGCATGCTTTCCTTGTGAAATTAAATTGAGAATGTGACTGCCATTGTCTCTCTATCTTTTCAGACTTTTTGCTAAGCGTTCCTGTCTTTTTGCGTTTCTTTTTCCGTTTTTTAATTCTTAAAGTCGGGAATTATTACAACATTACAGTGCGTAATAAACATTACAAATAAAATCACCTAACAGGACGTCTTTAATCAGACCGAACATGTTCTAAACCCACACATGTACAAAAGTACAAGTTCATGGTGGGAAACTTTGTTTTGAACGCGCGGATGAATTTTCACCCAATGCAGTGCTATGACTAACACTGTTCTCTTCCACTGTGCTGTGCTGTTCCCAATATCAGACTCCTAAGTCTTTGCTCACCTAAAGAATTCAGTTATTTGCTGTAATTCAAACTCGGCTTTCTAGACGATCACAGCCTGATCTCAGTCACCTCGTGGTCTTCTGGCCTCGCTGTTCAAGCAGAGATTTTGTTGTAGTTTTGATTTGGGAATGTGATTTAAGAAGGAACAGTTCAGCCCTCCTGTAAACCAGTATATAAATCAGCCAAATTCGAATAGTTTTGTAGTACAGGGACATGTGAAATAAGAATCCCTTGGCCTTCACAGCGCCAGCACTTAAGCACAAACACATTAAAGAACCAAGCTTTCAAAGAATGACCTCAATATGAGGGTTAAATATTAAATTGTGGAGAGTTAGATTGCCGTTAAATGTTGATACCATGGATCTATTAAGGGAGATAAACATGCTTGTTAAACTGCAATGCACTTTACCTTTTACAAAATAACACAACAGGATGAAACCCGATTCAAATCGTTTTATTATTAAAGAGTTCACTCGTAGTTAGCAAATATACTGTAAACGTGCACGCAGACACATATGCAGTAATAATAATAGACTTTATTTTATATAGCGCCTTTAAAGGTGGCTTCTCAAAGCACTTTACAGGATGACAACAACAATAAATCAAAAGAATGCACAAGATAAAACACAATTACAATATACAGAGGAGACATGGATGGTGGTGCTAAGAAAAGCAGAGGGGTGAAGAATGGAACCTGTTCAGTAAAGGTTTTTCTGAAGAAGAGGGTTCTGAGTCTGGATTTGAAGGAGTTTAGAGAAGGTGACTCTCTGATATCCTTGGGGAGAGAGTTCCAGAGCTTGGGGGCATAACAGGAGAAGGCCACATAAGATACACATAAGATACACACCCGGTGCGGTTGCCTAGATACCGAACAGGAAGAGTTCCCTTACATGGAGGCAGCAGGTATAGGGATGTCTGGGACCGACACCGCGGAGGAAGCCAGGTTATCGCAGTGGGAAACAGCCGTCAGGGAGAGCGTCACTCTGGAGGGGGAGGAGCGAGGACGAGCTCCCCTCATTCTGTCTCTCTGTCCCCGCAGTGGGGGCCACTTCAACCCTGCCGTGTCCCTGTCGGTCTACCTGACCGGAGGCGTGAGCATCATCCTGCTCCTGCCCTACGTGGGGTGCCAGCTGTGTGGGGGGCTGATCGGAGCAGCGCTGGCCAAGGTGAGAGCCGGAGGTGGGGGCCGAAGGGGAGGGTACAGTATGTGTTGGGGGGTGTTTTCCCGTGAGGGACAGGTAGCTAGGGGTGAGGGGTATTAATAGGCAACTCTGCTTCCACAGCGCGTTGCTGCTGGAAGAGGTGTTAGTGGGGCCAGCAGGGGGCGCTCACCCTGCGGTCCCTGTGGGTCCTAATGCCCCAGTATAGTGATGGGGACACTATACTGTAAACAGGCGCTGTCCTTCGGATGAGACATAAAACCGAGGTCCTGACTCTCTGTGCTCATTAAAAATCCCAGGGCGTTTCTCGAAAAGAGTAGGGGTGTAACCCCGGCGTCCTGGCCAAATTTCCCATTGGCCCTTACCAATCATGGCCTCCTAATAATCCCCATCTATGAATTGGCTTCATTACTCTGCTCTCCTCCCCACTGATAGCTGATGTGTGGGGAGCGTTCTGGCGCACTATGGCTGCCGTCGCATCATCCAGGTGGGGGCTGCACACTGGTGGTGGTGGAGGGGATCCCCATTACCTGTAAAGCGCTTTGGGTGGAGTGTCCAGAAAAGCCCTATTTAAGTGTAAGCAATTATCATTAATTATTATTAATTACTCTTGTGTGGGGGGTTCTGCACTCCACACCTGGGCACACCTGAGCATATTTAACCATCCAAACCCCCCCCGCCAAGCCCTTAGTCCTGACCCAGCCTGTAAAACAAATGTTGGAGTTGAGCTCGCATGTGCTCTGGTGCACAACATTGGTTTCTGCGACGACTACACTGCTATGAGCACGCAGAAGAGACAATCTGTTTCGGGTTTTTTTTTGCTGCCTCTCTATGTGGAGATAGCCTTTGCCCATCTCTTTGCAAAAAAACCTACGGAAGGTTCATCAGGTACAACCACAGAACACGACGTGTCTGCCGGGCAGTGCATAACGAATGCTTGTCTAGTATAATAATTGCAAAAGAATGAAAATGAAAGAGTCCTGGTTGTTCTACCCATTAAAATGCAGGAAGGAAAAACCCCCTGTTGTGCTTCTGTAATTAAAACCTCTGGGGATTAAACCTGCTGTTTTATTCCCCCAGTTTTACTGCAGAAGGCCAAACATTTCTGCCATGGAACATTGACGCTTTTGAATCAAAGTTCTGTTGTTTTTCTCCCATTTCTTACGCTGTCTGTATTGAGACGGTTCTGTCACTGTATTGTGTCTGGATTGTGACTGTTTCTGAGAGTTTTGAAATGGGTCTTCCGTTTTTTTGTTCCTTTATCTTATGTCACCATTCAGTAACAGCACTCCAACCCAAATAGTTATGTTTTCCAGTCCTTTTAACTTGAACTTTCTTAGAATGCTTATACTTCCTTATCGGTTTTCTGATTTATGACAGGCCATTACCTTTTAAAGGTTTATTTAAAGCAATAAATGTTTGTTAACTTTTACCACAACCACAGAAAATAAAACAAGGTCAAGATCATTGTAGGACTTAACAAGGCAGTGTTTAAAACAGCCGTCTTGGAATATGTAGCACCTTATAGTTTATGTAACTGCAAGTCTCTGCATATCAGGTTTTATCCAGGATCCTGACAAGCAGTGTGGGTAAACCTTATTGCAAGCCAAAGCAAATATATGGTTATTAAGCGCAATCTGGGTACCTCAGTTGTCCAGTATTGTACAATCTCAATATTAATTGATCAGTGCTCATGATGGGGGATGCACTGGGGGTATATGCAGGTGAAGCAGGCAGAGGTAGTGAGAGGTCACTTCCTTTTCTAGCAAGGAACCTGCTGTCCAGTCACGTGACTTTTTCCTTGAATGCCTCACACTAACCTTCGCTGGTGAGACTAGAAAGCTATTGTTTTATTCGTCTCGTGGTACTAAGAGATGGTAACTCTACAGTGCTGCCTCCTCTCGGAATGACGGGCTCTTTCAGGTTAATTCTCTAGCTTTGAAACACTTGCTCACGCGGTGTTTATGTCATCATTAACATGTCTAGCCTTACCCAGTAAAGGATATGTTTGAAAACAAATTTGAATGAGCGTACTTGAGAATTACCCTCTGAAAAATCTGATATTGTGACACTGGGTCCCACATGTTATTAAAAAGGTGAAAATGATAGCACACAGAAAAAAAAAAAGTTTCAAAAGTCAGTGCCCACTCTGCCCTGTGCAAATCCCTTTCAATAACATTTCTGTTCTGAATGACATACCCAGACAGTTTTAATACTATTGTTAAGAATTGAGAGAAAGGCTTCGCTTCCAGTTTTCAGAGAAGAGCAGTCCCACGTTATCACCAGACTGAACGTTTATGACAGAATGTGCACTCTTGCCCACCAGAAATTATGCTCAAATCACAAGATGGGTTTTGAGAACAAAGCGATAAACAATCTTTGATATCCAGGGAGAGGTTGTTTTTTTTTATGACTACAATAGCTGCAATTACTCAAGTGGTTAGGATTACCTTGTTGAAGGCTGCAGGGGCTGTAGAGAGTTTTTTTATGTTTATTGTCACTGGACATGATTTCAAAGTCTGCTTTTCTCAAAACTCAAGTTTCCACACAATGGATGTAATGACTCCTTAGGCTGGAAGCAAATTCGCTCATCTGTTTGGAAACATACAAAAGAAAAGAATTCATTCTATTAACGGCTCAAGAATTTAATTCCACGAGTCTGGAATCTTACAGACAGGATCTTAAACATCCGTGTTATACCTGGAGTTTTAGATTTGGTCTTAGGTCTTGCGAAGCTCGTCCTCACTAATACCGTGGTGCTTAAAGTTGCAGATGTTAGATTTCCTGAGTGGAATCTCTCTGCAAACCTCATAGTGTCTCGTAGAAGACCTTTCACTTTTAATTCTTCATCCCCGAAGATGCAGATCCTGGTCCATTCGAGTTCTTCTTTTAACCTCTCCTGCTGATCCACTTGCTTGTTTGGGCTTTTCCTTTTTTTACTTTGTCCGAAGACAAGAAGGACAAACTTGAGCCCCCTGGTGCGCTCTTTGAACGCCCTGTCATGGGTAGCTAAGTGTCACCTGTGTATCTGCCTCCCTCCGGCTGCCAGCTTCACCGTTCTGTCGCAGTGGGGGGGGGAGCTCACTCTGCAACGCTTGTATGTCTGTATTCCCAGGCGATATCCACATCGCAGAGCTACGCCAACGCCTCAGGGGCAGCCTTTAACGTGGTGCAGAGTGACGAGCAGATCGGGCCGGCCGTCGTAGCCGAGACAGTGATGACGCTCTTCCTGACTATGGTGGTGTGTATGGGGGCCGTCAACGAGAAAAGCCGCAGCCTCCTGGCACCCCTGTGCATCGGACTCACTGTGGCCGCGGATATACTGGCAGGGTACGCGCACATAAGCACGCTGATGGAAACAAGATTGCACTGCAGTCCGATTCAGCAGCACAGTGGGCTCATTTCCAGATCTGGGGGTGCTATCTGTGTGGAGTTTGCATGTTCCTCCCCATGTTTAAATGGGGTTTCCAAAAGCCACGTTGGCTTCTGGGAAACTAGGCCCTGGTGTGAGTGTGTGCGTGTCTGTGTGTGCCCTATGATGGACTGGTGTCCTGTCCAGGGGGTGTCATGCCTTGTGCCCATTGCTTGCCGAGATGCTAAATTGGAAGAAACAGTCTTGAACCCAGATCCCCAGAGGCACTGGGCTGCGCCTGGGCTATCCCATTACGCTGGTGTTCTGCAGTTCCTATCCAACAGTGCACGTCGCCGGGATTTTACTTGCATCACATGTCATCTGGACAGTGGGAACAGGTGTTCAAAAGTCTCTCTTTCTATATCAAGGCATAGTGACTGATCCAGACCCCTTCCTGTGTTTCAGAGGGGCCGTGTCCGGGGCCTGCATGAACCCTGCCCGTGCTTTTGGGCCAGCCGTGGTGGCAAACTACTGGGACTACCACTGGATCTACTGGGTCGGGCCCGTGATCGGAGCTCTGCTCACTGCCTGCTTTGTGAGGTACAGTGCTGGCGTGGTGCAGTCTAGCACAGAGCCCCATGGTTAATATTAACTCAGTGTGCCACCAGCCTGGCGGCTAGACCTGTCTCAGTTCAATGCCCTAAGCGACCTGCCGGGTCTGCTGATACTGGCTTCTAACAGCCCCCTCCTGTGGACAACAGTGGTTACTGCGTGAACACAAAGGCTTGGAAGCCAACTGAGGATAAAAAAGATGATTGGATAAAAGATACAGTCGAGAGCTGCAGATTGACATTATTCACATTATAGGCTGCTCCAATTAGCGTGAAAAGAAAATCCCTTTGCCCCCCCACTCCTGACAGTTCAGACATGAGACAATTTGCTACATCTTTCCATGGCAAAAGAAGTTGATTTTCAGGCAAGGGAAGGCTGATATTGTCTGTTTTAATGCAATAAACCAACATCTCTGCCCCCTCAGTGTCACAGCTGCAGTATTTCACCACCAGCTTGAAGCTTAAAGTAATAACCTGGAAAACTAACAGAAATATCTGTTCTCTTGAATTCATAGGTTGCTGCTGGGTGACAGGAAGATCAGAGTTCTCCTCAAGTGATCTCCATAGAGCCTCAGTGGTTATCTTACTGGCCAGCTGGGGCAGGGTCTGGACCTCCTGGTGTCCAACAAGACCATGCCCCCGCCTGGCTAGGCTGTCCACCTGCTGGACAAGAGTCAGTACTGGCTGATCCACACCCACCGGTTTCTACACAGCAGATTCTCTAAAAGAAAGCAGAGCCTTTTTCAACAGCGCGTCCAGGGCAGACGTGCAGCACATTACACAAAAGAACTGAAATCACAGAGAGAGCTGCTTTGTGGGTGGACAGCAGGAAACACGCGTTCTAGAAATAATTGTTCTTTTTGTTCTGTTTTTTTGCCTTGCGTTAGAAATCATTGCAGCATTTAGAAAAATCAACTGATTGTTGTGTTAGTATGTACGCTGCGTTTCCAACACAATGGACTCAGAGACACAGACTGGTAAGCTGTGATTCTTTCCCAGCTTTTCTTTATTTGTGTGTGGATTTGATACTGCTTTCAAAATGTTCCGGAAGTTCAGCGGTGTTCGTTTTTTCTCTCCAATGTCTGAGAAGCACTTTGGAGAATTGGCTGTGATGT